ATTCGTGCACAGACAGTAGACCCGAGAGTCCAGGTCACTGTTCCCAAAAATCTGCACTTAAAGATTATACATCTGGAACAAGACAAAATTAAAAAGCAGAAATATCCCCAGGCTGCAGTCACTCCCCTGAAAATGGAACATTTTGCTTTTAAAAAGCAAATTAAGGTTTCAAGTACAGACAATCAGATAAAGCCAGTGGATCAAAACATAATTAACTGAAGCATTTGTGTATCAAACATTATCTGAAGAGACTAATTCAAATTCTATTCCATACAAATATTCGGTCACCGGGAATTAAATGGATTCAATGAATTCACAGGGATTTCACCCAATAACAAATCATTAAAAATTATAAAAGAGGAAGAAGAGAAAAAAATGAAATGCAATCAAGAAAAGATAATGGGGCCAATTAAGCTTTAAGTGACAACTTCTTTGCTCTAGAACACTTTTTGTAAGATGGATAAAAACTAAATGGCCATTCTTTCTTCTTACTGCTGCGAGGGGACAGTCTGTCTGTCTGAAGTTCAGACCCTGATAGCCTTTGAAAAGCTGCCTCGATCATTGGCATGTGTCTCCCTGTAGGAAATTGGTCCCTTCCTACTGCTTAACTTTTTCTCAGACACTCTCTTGTACTGTGAGGTTGTGAATTCAGGGGAGAATTCAAATAGAGCACTCTCAGTATTTTAGCAAAACTATGCATCTACCAGCAAGGTCGATGGGCCGAAGCTATTGTTGAAAAGGACATTCCTTTGTTTATCTTTGTTTAACTCTTACTGATTCTAGCAAAATAAATGCCATTCTCATGTCTGATAGCAGTTTGTAATATGTTGATCCTTTTCTGATTAATAGAGTCAAATGTATTTGCATTTTTAAATACCTCAAATAAATCAGTTTGTTTTTTCTTACCAAGGTATAACTTCCGAATGATATTCTTTTCTCAATTCTGCTTACTATAAGCAACCATTTGAAAAAGAGCCAGATTATTCAAACTTTCACCCCATACCTTACTTTATTCCACGTAGGGCCTTAGAATCAATCAAAATAAATTAATCTATCTATCACAATTAGAACTTGTGCCACCAAAGCCTGTGCTTCCTCTGAGGGGAGGAAATGTGCCATGGTCACACTTTAAAAAGTACAAAGAATGACGGAACAGGTTCAAATTAATTACAAATAAAATTATGTTTGGTAAATTATTAATATGTGCATATATGAAATTGGCTTGAAAATTGAAATTGAATATTTCCACTATTGTATCTGTGTCTATTACTTAAAATTAGTGCATTTAAAATATTAATTTGGCTCAAAGAAAGATTCATTGGCGACCTTCTCAGGCTTTCATGCACGATGAAAGGGAATGTGGATATCACTGAAGTATTAAGCACATTAACTCGAAAAGTAGAATAGATCCATACTAAACAGAAAAGATGCATTGTTTTAACCACTGTACATATATTAAAATTCATTCAATCATGCTAAAATATATCAATGTAATTACGGATACAGAACTCAGTGAGAAGTAAATAAAAAGTATAATTCCAGCTTCCAGATTGTAAAATTATATAGAATAAATTATTCTTTAGGTACAAATGTAGTCCACTTTGGCAATGAAGACATTTCTTGACATTATACCAGAACTATAATAAGCCAGCTGAAGAGGAGTCTAGGCCAATAAAAATCTAGTAAATTCTTTTCATAAATGCTTCCTAGGTAGCAGCAGGGACACTATGTGTTTCTGGGTTAT